TGGGTCGTGAGCCTGTCTGTATTCTTTTCTGATCTCACTCTACCGACAGCGATGCAGCGAGTGTACCCCCGAAGCTTGGAACTCTCAGAAGAGGCAAACCTCACGAGGGCCACAGGCCAAGCAAACCCACATGCCCCAGGAGTCCGCATCAAACGCGGTGACGTCCGTGCTGAGGCCAAGATCCTCAAGGGGTCACCCAAGATCTAGAATACAGCCAGCCACTGAAACCCTAAGCTTGGCCCTAAACCTGGATAGCGAGGACTCCTGGGCTTAGGCTTCATATTTGAGACGAAAACCCTGCAGAGACCCCTTCCAAAGTGGCCTAGGCCGAAAAGACACTGAAATTAGGGGCGATCCCCCCCCCCCCCCCCCCCCCCCCGAGTTCAAAATGATCCCGCCCCCCCCAAACCGAGTGTGCCTCAGATTCCTTCGAGGCTTCGGGCATCGAACCCTCGGAGCCCTGAAGCCCTGAAGCCATGAGAGGCCCTGCCTCAAGCATCTCGAGGTCAAAGTCGATGGTCTTGTCTTCCCTTCGGTGCTTCTGGTTTAGGGCAGGGCTATACATGGAGTTCAGTGGGGTTACAAGCAGGATAGCTGTCTCAACTTTAGGCAAAAGCAATGAACTCTGCATGGGGCTTCGAATTTTTTGTCTTGTTGGATACAGTGCTGCCGACATCCGACCTGTGGAGGAAACAGGCAGCAAGAACTCTCAATGATGAGGGATGGCTTCAGAATGTCAGGCTTTCTGAGGACCCCACCAACTCCCGTCTCCTACACCCTAAACCACCCTAAGCCCTCCGTCTTGGACCATGGTAAAATGAATCCAAAACCCGAAACATCCCTAGCTGAGATCTTAAAACCCGGTGCATACTTATCTGACATGTGTAGACACAGGCTTGTTCGGGTGATACACATGCTTCTTGACTGTACCATATGGATGACAGCCTACAACCCCATGACCTTCTGATCCGAAATCCCCCAGCACAACCCAAAACCCTAACCCTAGACCCTAAACTACAGTAAACCCTAAACGGTAATCCCCCCCCCCCACCCCTCCAACAAAAAACCCCCCCCAACTTCGAGCCGCAGGGCCCCAGGGCGCTGTGGAAGCGGTGGAGGGCCCCCATCACTTCGCCCAGCCGCATCTGCAGAGGTTGTCGGGGGTTTTGCTGGGGATTTTGAAATTGGGGCTTTGGGGGGGATTCTAGGCGTTTTCAGGGTTTGGTGGGGCTTCCTAGGGCTTATAGGGCGTTCTGACGGTTACGAGGTTCACAGGGTTGCAAGGGCCTATAGGGTGTTTAGGCCTTATAGGGCTGGGTGTATACAGGGTGTTGGGGTTGTTGCAAGCTTTGTGGAATTCATGGGGTTTGTGGCGCTTCTGGGGCTTGTTTATAGGGTTTGGATTGACGGGGTTGATAGGTTTAGGCCTCAGCTCAGGGCTCAAGGTTCTTAAGGTTTGGAAGAGTTTTTTGTTGGGGATTAGGGGGCCAGGGGGGGGGAAGGGCGCGGGGGGTTGAAGGGCTGAAGCGCTGGAGTTCAGCACCTTTGGAGAACTCTGAATCGAGGTCTTTTTTCATCAGCTGCATATGGCCATCCCTGCTTGTTGCATAGAGAATATTCAAATCAGGAGTGTTGGAGTCGCCAGGCACTAGAAATACTGAGTTAAAGAGCTTCTGGATACTTGGGGGGTTTGGTCTGCATTAGGGTCCCTTTTGCGGTGTTCTGTTTTCTGAAGGGATGACACTAGGACGTTTTTCAAGGCATTTGAATAATGCAAGGGGCCCTCACGTGGAGCAACCCTCCCCCCACTTCGGGTCTGGGTTCCGATGTGTTTGGCTTGCCGGAGTGCCCAGGTGCTTTCAGATGCCTTGCTGGGAGCTTCGGGGGCAAGATGCTGGAGGGCTCTTGTTGAGCCTGCTTTCGAGTTTAGGGCCCCCAGCCCTAGAAACCCTAAACCTTGAGGCTTTCGTTGGGGCTGGATGTGTTCGGAGACTTGGGACTTCCGGATCCGAAGGTTGACCAATAAGTCACCCTCTGAAAAAGCTTCCTAGACCTGCTATTCCGATCTGCTGACAATAAGGGGAGGACATCTCGCTGCAAACCCTAAACCCAAAATTGGAAACACACCCCAGAAGCCCTACCTAGTAGATAGCCCTGCGCTGTGCATCCCTTCTTACTAGTAGGGCTTAAGGGGGTTTAGGGGTTTTGGTTACTAGGAGGCTTCTGTCACCTCGGAGTAGCTGAGGTGCGGACCTCTCCGGGGCAATCCGGCGACTCAGACTGGTCAAGGATCTCCATGGCTCTCTTCCTGCATCAAGGATCTGAGGGAATCGCTATACCGCGATATGCTAGAAGGGGGTGCCGGGCTCGTGAGGGGGGGTTGCACTTCAGTTCAGGGACAGCCAAATTTCAGTTGAGGGAAGACTGACTTTCGAGCCATGCCGAAGCTGTGATGAAGGAGTGGTAGAGGGCTAGTGGGGCTCGAGCCGTTTTGACACTGTTGGGAGCTAGCTTCCACAGAACATGACCTTCAGGTATGCCAAGCCTTAGTGCTTCTACCCGCAGCAACAGGTATTGCTGCTGCAGAATATGCCAGTTGCTCGACGACGATTTCACAGTCACGAGGATATGTTTCCAACAACTGCTAGGAGCACTTTGCTCTGTACTCTATGCTGAATGTGCGACACCATCGGCCCTCACTGGAACAACAGCTCAGGCAAGTGCACGACGCTTGCCGGCACGGTGAAAGACTTGGGGAAGATGCATCGTCTCACCTCCCTGCGTTCACGGGAGGGCTCCGTGTTTCTGCACCCGAAATTCATAAAGGTCACCATATGGCATACCCCTTGGATTGCAAGCCTTCCCGGCATGACGATCGAACTCATGAGCTGCTCTTACAGTAGCTCACATGGATGGGTGGGTTGCCCTGAGTTCTAAAGCTAGGATCCTCTTTGAAAGTCTCCATATTATAAGGTAAGCTCAGCTAGCATCCTACAGATGATCCTTTGTCTCGTTGATCTGCTGTACGGTGCAAGCCAGGCTCCAGCGCATTCTGGCGGCTTACCCTACATCATCGATTCCCCCTTTCGATGCCACATTCCTTGTAGACCCATCGCGAACCCAAGGACTGAGCATCCACATCTTTGAACTCCAAACTTCAAAGCTCCGAACACGAAACCCCACTTACCCTCTTACCGCTGCAGCTTGGAGACTGCGACGGCTTCCTTTCGAAGGAGGTGGTGCTGGTGAAGTTTGCGTCGTAGTACCTCGTTGAATTCGTGGGCGTGCTTTGGAAAAATCCTACTACAACTTGAGCAGCCAATGAGCAAGAGATCGCTGCCGCATGCTCCAAATCTGGGTCTTAAAACCCCTAGTTGCCTTAGCTTGCAAAGCCCCCCAAGAATCCCTAAACGAGCAAAGAAGAATTTGTCTAGGCTTAGGAGTGAGGGGATGCTCAAGCTGCATTCGTGGCGCTGCTGGAGGTTGCGAAGGATGGCCACCTTTCGCGTCTCAAGGCTGTTCATGGACTCATCCTGAGATGGTGGGCTCTGAAGGCATGGGGATGTACCGGTAGTTTAAGGGTTTCGGCGTGCCAGAAGATGTCCAGAACTACTGTTGGGCTCTACGGTTTTGGGCAAGTGTGCCTTTGGGGTTTGGGTTGAGGGGATTTGCTTCAGGTCGGTAAGGGTTGCATGCGGGGATAAGGCCTCCGTTTTGCCTGCGCTTTGGCACATCACTTCTGAAAAGGCTTGGGGCTTACGGTTTCGTTGTCCTTGTAGCGGTCCCTTCTGACTTGCTCTGATCTGGGCAAATCCTGAATACTACTCCCTGCCTAGGAAAACAAAGTGGGCGGAATCTCCATACATGCCTAGTTACCCCAAGATAGCCCCTGTAAAACCCTATAGGAACCTTAAGTGCTCCCGTAGTCGCAAAGCATTTCTCCAAGAGGTGCGTGCGCACGAACTGCATTCGTATGTGAAGGAAAATGAGAAGAAAAAAGGTGTTGGTGCCTGGGCGTGGCAAACGTTGTGGGTCGGCGCCGCGTTATCTAAACCCGTCATCTGCTGGACGGCTACTACTGCAGCCATGATGACGACCACCATTGCCACGACCACCACTAACAGCACTAACTTGAACTTATTCTTCAAGGGCAGGGTTTCCACCTGCACGTGAGTTCAAGACAGAGAACCGTGGAAAGGGTTTGCGACTTGGGGCCCTAAAGCCTCGGCTGCCGTTCCGGCAAGGACGTTTTTTGTTGTCAGGGTCCTTCCAGCGTCCGTCCTGAGCACTATAGGGTCACTGGAGGATTGCAGACGAAGTTATGTTCCGGTCCTGATTGACGGTGTAGGGTCTGAAGTTACTGCAGGGTTTCAAGGCTTCGTGGCTCGGATCCAAAAGCGCTGCACCGCAGAAAAAGAAGCCCCCAAACCCGGAACTCAACCCCCACGCTCTAAACTCTAAACCTGAAACTGTAAAGCTTGAACCTTACTATGCGGTGCGTCTTTGCTAGCTTCTTTGCGAAGCAGTACAGATGTGACGTGTATCTATAATTGTGTATATATATATATATGTATATTTATTTGCATATCTATAGACATATATATATATATACATATATATATATACATATATTCTGTCTGTGTGTGTGTGCGTGGGTGTGTGCATCTTTTGTTTTCAGAGAAATACTGAATAGTAACCACGGGTTACATGAACTCAATTTTTTACACGAACTCACATCGCTCTGGAATTCTGGAATGTAAGTTACATGTGTCGCTCGTGCTCCTACTCTGCGGGGGACTCTTGACAAAGAACCCTCAGCCCATGGCCCCAAGTTTGGATTATGTGCTGAAGAAGCTGACACGCGCACATGCGCCACATCTGGGTTTTCTACTGAATAGGCACATGCGAGACGTTGTTCCAGAGAGAGGTGATGGTTCCCAGGGAACCCTCTGCAACCACGGAGCCCATGGAGTCCCCGCGCACGCCGCAGGTTTGGAAATCTAGCTCGTGCACGGCCGCGACAATGTCACCAGCACTGAGATACTCCCAAGGGTTGCATTTGCAGTGTCTCCTAAACATACGGATGTGTTACCGAGCGGACGGTGGCCCGACCAGCAGATAATGCACGTCTCCGTCTCCATGCTTACGTGGACTACGGTGCCGAGCGAGCCCTCTAGCACCACTCGCCCATCGAAAGGCAAATCACGGGTCGCCCTGACCACATCATTTACTCGAATGAACTCGTGTGGTGCACACTTGTGAATCTGATACCTCTGGACCACTGTCTCGGCCAGCTCTCTGCCGAGCCATTCGACCCGCATGGGCTGTACGCTGTGACGCAGCACTCCTTGAGAGCCCTGACGCACTACGGCGCCGTGATCGTCGCCCACGTGGCCCACAGAACCAAAATCGAGGTCGTATGCTGCCTTCACAATGTCTCCGTCGCACAGGTAGTCAGCCGCAGAACACTTGCGAATCTGATCCTTCGTTACTGCGGTCTCTGCCAAATCACGGCCAATCCAAGCAACACGATCTGTCCTGCCAGGCTGGCGCTTCAAGATTCCTATGGAACCGGCTGCCACTATTGCGCCCTGCCAGTCAGGCAAGTGCCCGACAGCTCCAAAGTCGAGGTCGCACGCTGCAGCCACCACATCGCCTTCCAGTAAATACTCTTCATCATGGCATTTTCTCACCTGTCTCACCGTCACAGCTGTTGTGCCCAAGCTTCGGCCCGACCAAATCACTTGACAGGCTGCTGGCAAATAAAGCTTCACCAGGATTCTATATGGAATGATGGATGCACGCGCACGTGTGTAGCGCTCAATCACATCATTCCCAAAGTGACTAGAAATCTGCCAAGTCAGGCCCATAGTCTCGCCGCTTACGCCATAGCCCGGCTGCTGCCGGCATTGCAGCACGACTTTTGCTAGCTCATCTCCGAACCACCCCGGACTTGTGTAGACATCTTGCTCGGCATATTTTGGCGAGGGCGATGTATACAACTGCACACTCTCCGCGCCTCCGAGGGTGTGAATTGCCTTCACCTGCGAACCATCCAACAAGACATCCCCAGGTAGAAGTAAGCCTCCTTCCCGCAGAACTGAGACTAATTGACATGCGCTCAGCCCATGATACGACACGTGCCACTCTTCGAAGATGCGCAGACCGGCAGCACGTGCTGGGATCTTGATGCCAAACCCTGCAAATCCCAGAGGCAATTCGTATCGCTCACCCGCTACATTCATGACCTCAGGGAGCCCAGACCTTTCTGCACAACCTTGGCAATAGCATCGGTCATGTGCGGAGTCGAACTCTGCAGGCGACAAACCCAAGGACAGCAGAAAATCCTTGCATCTGTGAAAATATTGGCAAGTAACCCTCCGTGCTTTCGACGGCCGTGGCATGTCCATGCTGGCTGAAGCATCCCAAAACCCGACCGTCTGTCTACGCCCGTCCAGCTTACTTCGGAGGTGTCAGCTGACGTCTCAGTTCGATCTACTGTATTCATGGGATCAAGGACGCAACCAGAAACTGAGACAAACAACAAACACCCCTAAACGTCTGGCCATCCATGTGCCACTTCCTTCCAGTAAGATCAACTGGCGTCACAACTACAAGAATGTCAAATGTCCGGATATGTCTGACAGTGCTTGCGGTCTACGCCGGCATAATGAACTCAGTAGGCACGAGCAGGTGAATGCTGAGCAAAAATGGCCATCTGTGCGAATAGCGGAAGGGCTCCTGTGCCTGTTTCAGCGCCGGCAAGCGTCGATTGTTGGCTGGCTGCTGCCGGTGGTGCTGGTGGCTGTTGATTTTGGCGTCGAAGCTAATCTTGGTGATACTACTGCCAGCCCAAATCTTCCCCAAACCCTCAAACTGTCAAACAAACCCTAAACCTGAAAGCCCACGAATTAAACCCTGAAATGCTGGTTACAGCGAACCCTTCGGCAAGAGCCGAGGTCGAGGTCCCGACGCCTCTCACCTCAATCTGGCTCTTGTCGGAAGCGCGCCTGGCTTCAACTGCAGATCGGAATGGGGGCGCATCATGTTGCTTGTATATATGTGTAGAAAAAATAGAAGTATGTATACATAGATAGATATCTACCTCTCTCTCTCTCGATATGTGTAAATGGAAGCAAGTACATACTTGTAGATGTATATACCAATGAAGGGACACATCGGATGCAAGAAACCAACTACCTGCGTACATATGTATATATATATATATATATACATATATATATATGTAAATTGCACCATGCACATATATATATATATATATACATGCATATAGATAGAAAGCATAAGTATTTTGTGAAAGACACATTGGCTGATTTGGGTAGGTGTTGAATTGAGCCCAAGGTGCCCACTTCAACATGCATGTCATACACCTCCAACCAGGCCCGAAAGTCCCCCGCACCAAAGGCTGCAGTCCGAGCGCAAACTAAAACCTCCCTCAATCTGTCCACCGTCTCCAATTTAAGGCACATGCCCCAAACCTCGACCTCTCGCGCGGGACTTCGAAGTTTTCGATTCCTTCGAAGTGCTCGAGGCCTTCGGAATGAAAACGCACCGAGGCTCGGAAGACTTCGAGTGGCTTAAACAAACGCCCGAGCCTTGAATGAATAGCTACGGTTCTTGAACCCTCTGAAATGGCACCCAGTTTAGTTTACGGGGAAGCCCCCGTGCCCCCAAAACAAAAATTGGCATCAATCTCTCCTTCACAGCCGAGAACCTTAAAAACCTGATGGTTGGTTACAATTGCTGGGGTCCTCTGAGCTGTTGGCTTCCACCTCACGCTTGAGAAGCTTCATTGGCCTAAAGTCCTAAGGCCCTCAAGGCTTTAGGCGTTTTTGGGGGGCCTAAGCCGTTAGATTTTCCTTGGGCCTTGGGCCAATGGCGCATCTCAAATTCTGTGAATTTGTATTTCTTGCTTAGGCAAGCCAGGCAAAGACCTCAACTTCTTTCCGGCAGGGTACCTTAATGGAGATTTGAACCAAAACAAGTCATGAAGGAGTTGAGACGATGCTTTCGTAGTGCATGAGGTTTAAAGGATTCATTCAGGGTCTCATTCTGTAACTGATATACCCTCAGAATATTCTGGGAGTTTTTTGGGGGGGGGGGTTTACGACGGTCTAAGGGTTTCATGAGCAGAGATTGGGTTCCAGAGTACTCTTGCGATCTTGGAGACAGCATACACGCAGAATCCGGAGCGCAAAGTCGTTGACGCAGCTTTGGCTTCTTCATCCAAATCGAAATATCGACAGGCATGGCCTACAGCACCGGTACCTAGATTCCGTAACCCTGATGAAACGCAAAGCCAACCAAAAAGCCCGTAAACGCCCCAAATGCGAAGTCCCTAGGCACCATGCAAAGTGGAAGCCTAGCTGGGCCTAGCTCTAAACACCCCCTAACCCTGGAGCGGTTGGAACGGCCGTTTAACCCCCCTCCCACGCCCCCACCTATGCTGGCTATGCTCTCCTCGCAAGTCTCAGCACCTCCGCGCGACACAATAGGTTTCGAGTTCAGAGAGTGCGTAGGCCTGTCATCGGCCCTGAAGGTCCCGTAGTTCATATTTCTTGGCCCGTAGTTGGAGCTAGCTTCATGATTGGGCTACAAGAACCGAAATCCGAAAGGCCACTTGATTCGAAGGAGTGTGTATGTGTGTGTGTGTGTGCTTGAGTGAGGCCTGGCTGGATCCCGCATCTTAAGTGCAAGCAAAATGTTCTTATGACGAAAGGGAGGCCTCCAAAGAGCTCTTCGCCTGCGCTGTCGAGGCTGACTGAGCCATCCGTGCTCTCCATCTCTCCATCAAAGGCTGCTGCCGGCCTGTCACCACTGTAAGCTTTAGGGTGAGAGGCTTGACTCTGCAGGGCCTATAGCAGTCTTAGGCATCTTGGGAGGGCGGGGGGGCTTGGATACCCTCACAGCTTCTGAGGAAGAAAGCACCTTTCGGTCGTCAGCGGCTGCCGGGCCCACTTCGCACATCTGATCCCGACTTAACAGCGACTCGCTGCGACGTTGAGCAACCCACAAGACATCCCAAAAGCACAAGCGCAAAACCCTGCATCCCCTTAAACATCCTCGGTTAGATGCCAAAGATCGCCCAAGTCACCAGAAATCTCGGAAAGCGGGGTGCCAAACAAAGATGGGCAGGTTCCGGCCCTCCAGCTATGCTCACAACTCGTATCCCAAAACCCAGGCCTAGGCCAGCCCGTTCTTCTCCCGGCCCATGGCCCAAGGCAATTGTGGACGCTAAGGCAGCGTGGGTTGGGCTGTTGGGAGGTTCTGGCCCTACGGCTAAGGCGGCTGAGCTTCAAAGGGGTCAGACCGGGAACAACCTGGGGGGTAACTTAAGTCGGGGCTGGGCGCAGTCTGGAATGCCATGTAAGCCATGCAATGCTGCACAGGTTCTGGAGACACACGTGGACCAGGTTGGTAGCATAAGCTGGATGCCTGCATCTGAAGGCCTTCCATGTCCGTTGTTCAGCATGGATTGAAGCGTATAGAGCTGAGCAACAGAGCAGAAGGCAATCGAACAGCCAAAGTAAATAACTGCGGCTAAAGTCCATTAGTAAGGCTTTCATCGCTGTCTGCCATATTGGAGCTTTCATCACAAGACTCCCTACAATTGAAGAGCAGCACGAACTTCCATAATCCGCCGAGGTTTTGGGCCGTAGGTGTATGTGGAGCACCCCCAGATCAGAGGCATTTGGGCTTGAGCCTAGGACGCCCCCCCCCCCCCCCCCCCAACATACCCCCAGCCCCCTTTCGTTAGCGGTGCCTTTAAGCCTTTGAGACTTGTGCATTGTGGTCTTGCTACGGCCAGGAGCAACTCCCCTGTAAGACCTGTAAGTCCTATGAGCCCCATGAGCATGGGTCGAAGCGCGTTTCGGGTCCGCCCGATCGTGGACGGGGGTGTGTGTTTCAGGTGCGCCGTGCGTGGCCGCGGGGGTGCGTTTCAGGCTCTGCTGGAATGCGTTTCGTACAGGCCAAGGTGCGTTTCAGGTCCGGCACCACCATGACATGAAAGCCACAAGTCCGAAGCCCCTCAAGCCACCCGCTACAAGCCATGTCAGGCCGCGTTCAGGTTGTAGGGTTTATTGTATTTATAGGGTCCAAGACTTATAGGGTTTAGGATTTAGGGGTTTACGCTTGAGTGTGCTGACGCTGTTCACGAACGAAGGTGATGCCCTGCAACCCAAACCCGAACCCTAGACGCTAAACCCAAAACCCCAAAGCCTGAAGGCCTCATCCCAACCCTAAACCCTAAACCCTAAACCCTAAACCGTAAACCGTAAATCGCAAACCGTAAACCCTAAACCCTAAACCCTAAGCCCTAAAACCCTAAAACCCTAAACTCTAAACCCTAAACCCTAAACCCTAAACCCTAAACCCGAAACCCGAAACCCGAAACCCTAAAACCTAAACCCTAAACCCTACACCCTAAACCGTAAACCCTAAACCGTAAACCCTAAACCCTAAACCCGAAACCCTAAACCCGAAACCCTACACCCTAAAACCTAAACCCTAAACCCTCAACCCTAAACCCTAAACCCCAAGCACCGCGCCTGAAATGCACCATGTGTGCGTCTGAAATGCCCCGGGCATGGTTCTGAATTGTCTCCCGTCGGGATCCCGAACACCGGGCCTGAAATTCGGACCTGAAATGAACCCAGGTGTGTCAGAAACGTACAACGCTCCATGAGCATGAACCCTATAATCCCTCTGAAACCTACGGCTGCTTCAGGCTCTGCATGTCTCTCCGCATGCATCATCCAGGCATGTGCCACCTTTTTCCTTCTTGCCATGTCATCGTGGGAAGGTTGTGTGTGAACTGTGAACTCAATACTGGAAGAGGACCTCTAGGCTCCCGAGAATTCCGCGGGAAGCGTACCTGGCATCACACGATCGCTTCGCCCCCACTACATGCGGAACCCCATCTACCCTAAGGCCCGCCCGAAACGCCCGAGAGATGCCTACCCAGCCGAAGTCTCCATTTTTGGGCTTTTAAAGGCTTTAGAACCCAAGTGACCTTTGAACCCAATAACTGCGTCCAGGGCGGCTGATGGCCATCGCTGGGAGCTGGTAAGTGCCAGTGCCGACACCCTGTCAGGTTTCTCCAAGCATGCACTTGGCTTTTGTGCATGTCTACGATATACTAGAACAAATTGTAGCCCAGTTTTCTTGTAATTCTTTTGTTGTTTTGACCTTGGCAATATGCATACTTTGAACTGACATGACATGCATTGACATTGTGTTGTTTTATGAAGCCCGGCTAATACATCACCTACGGACCTTACATGCGTACTTCTGCCTGAAGGTTGGAGACTGCGGAGCTGACTTGCGTGAGGGAGTCCCCCCCTACACACACTATCTGCCTCGGTGAGAAGACATGAGCAACAATCATGTCGCATGAAGAAACCAATGTCCAGCTCCAGACAAGTTCTGCAGCCGGGCCTCGTCAACAAAACTCTTCATCCCCTGGTCCCTCCAAGCTAGCTACAGTACTGCTTCTCAATTTTTGTGCTCCCGAAGAAGCCCCGACAAAGTCCCCCCAGAAACCACCCTACACCCTTCATAACATCCTTCTAGAAATGAGGGCCCAAAGCACTGAATGCCCGGCCTGACAGCTAAGCTCCACCTTCTCCAAAGTCGTGAGGTTCCGGGCGTAGGCAAACTTCAGCGTTGCCCCATCCTCGCGTGAAAGTATAGGCCGGCACTCTTCCAAAGTTAGGGGTTTGTACAAGTCTGTCAGGTTCAGGGTTTTGGGGTTTCGGGCCGAGACGACTAGGACATCAGCTCGCAGCGTCAGCCTTTAAGTTACCATGGGCTACATGCTGAAAGTGAAGTCCGCAACCCCACTCGCAACACCGCATCTTCCTTGCTTATTGGCTGTTCGGTACGAGAACAGCAAGTCCCAACCCATTCGATGTTGCTTGCGGAGAAAGAAAAAGAAGCCAAGGCATAATCATCACCTCACCCTCACACACGCACAGACTCTCCGATATACCATTCCACAGGCTGGTCCTGGACACCGCACTGCGCAAGCTGCTTCCTGAAAAAAGTGTAGTGGACGGGCTCACGAACACGGGAAGAGTAACTGAAGCCAGCGACATCCAAAGACCTCGAAACATGTTCATGGGTCTGTGCCGAAATCGGCCAACTCACTGCACAAGTTGATGCAGCCCCGAAGATGATTCCAACACCCTCTGAACCTGAAAGCCATTCTCAGAACAGCAGTGGACAGACCTTCACGGGCTTGGGATTCAGAGCGCGAGCTCCCTTCTTTTTTACACAGCCCGGCTTGACCTGACTACAGGAACTATTCCAGGTCGAGCCAAAGAGATTCCGAGCCTAAGGGCCTGCAACTTCGAAGCCTAGAGCAACCCGGAACTGCTTTCACAAGCTACATGTTTGAGATTTCCAAACCCCCCCGCCCCCCAAACTGTAAACCACGACATCAGGATCTTCGATTTCAATGCGCAGACGGACTTGCACGCAAGCGCGAAGCCTGTTCTCGAAGTAATTCTGGGAGCCTTTCTCGGACAAGAGCGCTTCATTGGCCCAGTCCTGGCTCTCCAAAAATGACAGCAGAGTTGGCCCCCTTTTTTTAAAGGGGTTGCGCTGCCACTCTCTTCGTTGAGCATATAGCATGCTATACTGAAGGGAACCTTTTTCTCTTCTCCTCCCGCGACAATGACATGTAAGCATTTTAGTCTTGGTGCAGGGATTTTGTGGTTTTGCGGTAAGTCTGCGTGGCTTTAGACTGGCCATGTTAACTACGACGATGGCAGAAGGGCAGAAAATAGTAAACGAAATCATGGCTTGATCATGAGGCTGCGCGGATCATGGAGACTTAGTTCGTTCCTCCCCCCCGGCACCGCCGTCGAACCTGGCTCGACAGCATCACAACCCCTACATGCGCACCCTCCCCCCTCCCCCCAAGCTCTTCACCACCGTGTTCTTCCAGCATCCGATCCCTGGTGCCCTTCCCAAACGTCGGAGGGGAACCGGCGGCGCATGCAGCGCGATGATCTTCTGCTTCACAGCCTCGTGGCTTGCGCTTGTCTTGTTCAACGCAAACATGGCAAACCCTCGGCTCTGTGGGGACTATATGGACTCTAATCACCGAAGAAAAGAAGGTCGCAGTTGACACTGATACGGCTAGCGCTACAGCCAGATCACACCCTGCTTGGAAGGGGCAGGCATGCCACAAGAGGTTTGTAGCAGGTGCGGCGACCTCCTCGCGGATTTGCAAGTGGATGCTGTCTACAGAGCTAGCTCCTGAGGAGGTTTGGCAACGCTCGGGACTAGTGTACATTGGTTTAGAACTTCCCGAACTTCCCAGCCCTTCTACGCCCTCATGGCGCAGGGCTTTCGGGCAGATGGCCTTGACCGTGTCCGTCGGCTGCACACTGAGTGAAGCAAACTTGCCTCTTCCAGTCTCTCGGAGGTTTCATAGCGTGGGGGTAGTGGGGGGGAGTTCAGGAGTCAGTTGAAGGCTTGGGGCTTTGTGAAGGCTTCGAGCGCTTCTTTTTTCCGGGGGGGGGGGGGGGGGTGTAAGACTTCAAGCATCCTCGTCAGCTGTCGCAGACATGGGAGACACTCTTTTGGGCAGTGCCCTGTCCCTTTAGCATGCCGAAGGCTTCAGCCCTGCAAACATAACAAGCTTCTACCAAAAACCTTGAACTTCTTGTCGTCCTGGACCCCGAAAACCCAAACAGACCTGTAGACTGCATAGGGTACAGAGGGCTTCGAAGGGTTTAGGCTTGGAGAGCTTAATTAGGGTATAGGGCTTCGGATTCAGGGTTCAGATATCCCTGATCCTACACCCACCTGCATCTGCACTGTAGTAGACCTTGATCTGCATGGCGTCGCGTCCCGATGCGCGCAGGCCTGTCTCAGGGTTTGCAGAATTATGAGGAGGGTTCAGGGCTTATGACCTCAATGAGCCCTGAACACCCTCAACATGCGTATTCCACCCCACATGCAACTTCTGGCCTCTGGGAACCCAAAACCTTGTCCGGAGTAGCCCTCCAAACAAGGAAAGCGAACCCTATTGTCTGTTTTTGCCCCCACCCTCGGTGTGGGGTTGTTCGATTTATATGGCTCTTTGTTTCATTTTTTGTTCGGCCTTTCGAAAGCACAAGGTCGCTGTATAGGTAAAACCCTACAGCGCATCTTCAGCTTTCACACGGGTCACGCCCTCCGACAGTCTGACAGGGCTTTCCACTGCTGGGTTTAGGGTTTCGAGGGTTCAAAAGGGTTTTCGGGTTTAGGAGGCCCTTCCGAAGACTTGGAGGCTCTTGACTCTTGTGTTCAGGTGGAGGATGCGTGTCCAAGAGGCGCAGGGGTTTCGTAGCTTGCGATAGAGAGGGCATGTCAGCAAACCTGGAAAGACTGCAAATTCAACCATGAAACCCTAAACCCTAAACCCCAAACTGGTCAGGGCTTGACTGCGCAAGGATTTTGAGGATCTCGTATTTTCTTCCAACCACCCCCCCCCCCCCCAAAAAAAAACAAAATGAAATAAATAAACAAATAACAAATAAATAACATAAACGCGGCACCTCGAGCATTTCGTACATATACTCAAGTTAGTTCATGTGAGCTTTTAGTTAGGGGCTGTCAGGGGGGCGGGGCTAGAACTCCCCAACGTTGCAGATAGCTCCACCCTGAACTCTGCACCTCGAGCATAAAATCTCGAAACCTGGTCCCGCCTGGATCCGAAGCAGACAACGGGCCGCACCCGCACTAACTCCCCAGCGGAGAGATACAGAAGTCTGAGCCGGATTCACGGGAAGTGGAGCGAGATTTGAGGCATGAATCCGGGTTATACACGAACTACCATCGCAGCCGTTGCAGAACTGTCCCTGCGAGCGATGCGCCACTGAAACCTCGAAGATACTGGCAGCTCTCCAAAGCTGGCATGGCGCGGTGGACCACTCTGCCTTCACCTCCCCCTCTCTCCGAAAGCCCCAGCCCAGCTCTCAAATCGATGTCGAACATTTGCTCAGAAATCCTCTGCCGCCAGCTGGCTCTGACAGCCTTACGGGCCTTACTCCCAAGGTCCCTACATGCCACGCACATCGCCGAACCCTGTCAGAAGACAACTCACAAACCCAGCGAGCACTGAAGGCTGGAGGCTTTTGCCATGTCCTGCGCTCGAGTGTCTCACTTGTCCTCCTGTTCAAGAGCTCTGCAGTATCTTGTTGAGGAGAGATTTCACTTTCCGACAACATACTTTCATGCGAAGCCATGTGTGCTCTCAAGGAAAGGGGTCTGCCCGTGGGCAGCGGGTGAATTGCAAGTGCAGACCAGTCAACTTCGGCTTATTAAATATTTCCAGGATTGCAAAATCCCCCAAGGTTTACAGGGTTCTGAGACATTTGGGATCGGGGCAGACAAGGGGTTCTCTGGGATAGTCCTTCTTGATCAAGTAGGTGAGGTGGCACTTGCCGCCTCGGTCGCGGAGGCGGCACAAAGAATTGCAATGGTGGTGCCCTGAATTTAGGATTTAGGCTTGACATTTTGGCCTGATGAGGCTTCCCGGGCTCGGCTCCCTAGCGCCCACCCACTTCAGAAAGCTCTACCTTGGCTCTTAAGGTTTTATAGTCGTGGGGTGGCATGTCACGTGCACATGATTCATCATGATTCCCAGCTTTTTCGTCCTGGCGTAGGGCTTCCAGTCCAAGCCCTGAGGCTTGGGCAGTAGTAGCGGTTGAAGTGCATGGCCATGAAGACCTCGGCGTTGAAACAGGCAATCCCGAAACCCTACAAACCCCAAATAGGCCCTGATGACCTGAACCCACCAATCTGGTAGCATGCTGGACTTCAGAAACGCGCACCATGATACGCCTCAGGCCCTAAACCCCAAGCCTCTGTAAACCCCCGCCTTCTATGTACAGTACTATATTTCGCCAGATGATCTATAGGTTCCTGCTCAGCCAGGCACTCCTGGGCCACAGGTCTCGTGGGGGCACTCGCGGCGCAAGCGGGTGACCTGCATCTGCTCAGCTTCACAAGGTTTGTGGGGTTCGAGGTTTAGTCAGGGGGGGTTTTCGAGGGTTTAGAGGGATTAGTGACTAAAGCTTAGTGCGGGGGCTGCCGGGCTGCGGGTCAGGGACGCGGCCCGCTGCTTTTGTTGCCTTTGAAGACTGTGACCATGTCCACTCAACGTCCAACGTGATCTGTGTACGAAGCTTCTTCGCCTTGTCATTGGAGTCCACTTTGTAGAACTTCAGAACTGCGAGCTTGACCTGCCCCAGTACGGTGCTGCGCAAGCCCCCAGACACACGCAATGGCCTCGAGACCACAAACAGAACACACCTCGTGAGAGGATCTGTTGGGCTTGCGGGGCCTTCTTCCTCTTGTGCTTGATCTTCTTTGGCTTGGTGTAGGTCTTCTTCTTGCGCCTGGATTCCACCCCCTTGAGGTGCATGTGACCTCCTGACCCAAATCTCCTGAGTAGCAACTCCCAGCAACTTGTAAAGCCAAGATCCGACCCTAAAAACCCTGCAAACCCAACCTTGAATCCTGGAATTCGGCCTCAAGGCCCTTGCCAAGCCGTGAGGAGACTTTCTCGGCAACACCCTCTATCAGACCCCGAAATGCCAACGAGCCAATCGTTGAGCCCTCATTGTTGAAGCCAGAGTCGCTTCTTGCCGCCTCCGCCTGGGTTTCAAGATAAGGGTCTATGGGGTGTAGTCCTTCTGGCGGCTAGGGAGCTTCGGGCGAGAGATTTCTTCGATTGCTGGCCGTTGCGCGCCACAGCGCCACACCACCAACCAACTCCCCCCTTACTCTGAATCCAAAGCCCCTGTGTGTCTCCAGAGTATCTGCGGCAGAGCCGCGGCTTAGTCCGAAAGCACTCTGCGACCCAGTTGCTGAGCTCTGCAGTGAGCCAGATGGTGGACTCCTCGTCCACGCCACCTGACAACGTCTGAGGGGCTGAAGCTAACGTGGCCAAGTCATTTTCTTCATGGAGAAGTGAGAGGCTAAAAGGGTGTTTTAGGTGTACATACCTAGAGTACCCCAAAAGACACTTAAAGAGGTACGTAAGCAAATCTCCAATGCACACAGGTCACTCAAGGCAGAGCGGCAAAAGAGACCAAGCCCTTTCAAGCCTGAGGCTGTGGCACTCACCAATCAGTTCCTCATCCCGGAGCGAGCGCCCGCCAAAGATCAGGCACTGCCTGTCCATCCAAAAGTCTATTGAGGATCACGTAACATGAGACATTATGCAGCTCGCATGGCTATGGACCACACACCGCTAGAACGCTTAATCGCGCCGAATCCCCGCGAGTTCACTGCTTGAGGCCACCACTCTGCACTAGGGAAGCACTGAACACCAGCGAGGCGCTCCTGGCAGTGGATTTAGAGTGTGCGGCCAGGAGGGTGCTCTTTCAGAGGATTCAGGATTTTGCACGGTCTCGGGTATAAGGTTGATTGTGACGGATTGAGGCTATAACTTCTGGATACTTCTGGGCATCTGGGTGGCTTTTTTGCATATGGGAGCATGCCCGGGCTTGAGATTGGCGTTTGATATGATTACGAGGTTTGCAGGCTCAGGCAGGCTTTCGTGCACTGTCAAGGTAAGCTTACGACTTACGCATGGAGACTCCAACGGACGGCAAACGTCATAGTGTTTTGAAGCTACAGGCTTCGGCCTTAGGGTCAACTGGTCCTTCTGTTCTGGAAGTTCTCTGCTTCGCAGCAGACCCTAAGCCCTCGAAGGTAGGTTCGCAGGGCGCGGAACATGTGCCTGTACCATTGCTAGAAGGCCAATTGGCAGACTCGAGAGCGGCCCGAAATTGTGTGAAGCCCTGCCTTCACCGGGAACCTTATAAGCCACTCAAAGCTGCATATGCCCTACAAAAGCCCGCTCTTCGTTGAATGCTGTTAAGACTTCTAAGAGGTACTTCTCAAGTACCCTAAACCCTAAACCCCAAACCCCAAAACCCAAAAACCCTTCTGGCTCAACGTTGTGCACCTTCAAGCTTGCGACGCTCTCGGTGGCAGCGGGCTCCACGCAGTGCGTGGTGCCCGCGACGTCGCGGACGAAGAGCCGCATGGCAAACTCAGCATGAAGGCATCGAAGACTTTGTCAGGGTTTTCCTGGGGTCTTAGCGTAGCCACAGCACTTGGACAGGGAACGAGATATGGGGGGGGTTTTCGAAAATAGGGGGTACATCTTTTTGGAGGGGGTCCTATATTGAGGACCCTTGATTGTTTTGGGATGCTCTGACATCAGCTGCAGTGTCCGTTAAGCGCCCGGCAAGAACCGCGACGCCGATGATGGCCCAGCTCTGTGGCTCAGATGCGGCAGAGGTGCACAGCAAGTCTGCCCAATCTTCTTCTTCCTATGAAAGCAGATCCTTGAAATTAGGGTCTGGGGAGTATCACGAGCTAGGCGATGACGGTGTGTGATGAGGCTGGCAGTGGACTGGCATGCTCAAGCTCAAGCTCAAGCTCAAGCTCAAGCTCAAGCTCGACGACTCAACGCGCAATGGACAAAATCAGGCCTCCCCGTCCAATCCCATGAGACATACAGCATTGGCTGCAAGTGCGGGATGTCTCGCTGCCCTGCGGCTCCCCCGATGAGCGCTTTAGCGCATCGCCCCATCGTCATCTGCCAGTGCGAAGCAGGTTGGCCAACAGGGGCTGCAGTGAGTGGCTGGACCTAGCAGCATGAGCCCCACACCCGGCCAGCGGTGTGAAGTTTGCCTTGGAGACGCACTTCGGCAAACTCGGGTAGGGCGAGTATGCCGAACGGCATTTGGAAGAAGAGTGCTCATGCTCGTCATGCACAACTAAACTAAAGATCCTAAACGAGACGGGCCAAAAGGATTCCAGATTTACAGGGCCAATCAAATCCCAAAACTTTTTGGTTCTAAGTGTCACTTAGCAGACCCTTATGCTGGGGATTCTTTTGTGAGGGCTCACCCTTCGGATCCCTAAGATTAGGCAGCTATGACCATCAACATGCTCCGACTGCGGCCGAACCACACGCGCATCGATAGCACTCACAAGTCCGACCCATGTCGCGGCTTCTGCGGCGGACACAGGGTCAACAACCCATCGGTGGGTCAGCTGAACAGCTGAAAAAAGCTGAAAGGAAATACGACTTCATTCCTAGGGTCCTAAGGTTCGCAGTCCAAAACAGCCATCTTCCACTCTTTTCACCATGCGCTGCCCGCAGTCTGCCACTTCGCCACCTCACTTGTCCTCCTGCAATTCGAGAGATTTCTCCAAACCATCAAACCCCCGGACAAACCCTGGTCACGGCCGGGGATCAGTTTAGGGTATCAGGGAAGCTCCAGGGTTCATCGTCCTTTGGTAGAAGAGCTTGCGGGTAGCACAAGGTGTATGCATGTAGGGCTTCTGAAGGGAGGAGAATGGCAATCCTTTCGGCCGCCTGAGACTGGGAGTTCAGGGAACAGGGTTGAGGGCTTGTTTTATGAAAGGGGTCCTTCTTGATCAGGTACGTCAGATGGCACTTGCCACCTGGAGAGCCAAGGGCACGTGGAGAACTTGCAACATCCTAAGCCGGGCTGGAAATGAGAACCTCTTCGTCCCCGACACGACTTACTGTGAACAGAAAGAGGCTGCAAGCACAGGCATGGACCACCAACCTTCCTCCAAAGATTCTGTGCGCTTGCAGTCTATAAGTATTTTGCAAGTTGCTTGCCCACCATATGTGCTTAATGTCAGAAGGTGTGTGCTACTCTTCGTGGCGTTTACTCTGACGAAACCTAAAGAATCCTTCTCAAAATCGCCGCGAGCTTCCAAGACATCTTTCGACTTCCACTAGAAGTCTCCCACTGTTTTCAGCGTGTGTGAATGAAGGTCCCTTCTGCGGTTTCGTTTATGATACGGAGCCTTAAATTCGGGGTGGTACCACACGACCCCCTGCAAACTCCCTAAACCCACTTTGAGCGGGGGCAGGTGGCGCGCGGTTCTCTGAGGCCCAATCAGTAGTAGCGGTTGAAGTGCATTGCCATGAACACCTTGGAAACACCGTAGAGCTCACAAGAGTTTTGGCGGTTCTAGGGGATTCATGGGTTTTGGGTTTTCAGGGCTTCATACAGGGGTTTCGGGTTTAGGACTGGTTCAGGTTCCTGGAAATCGGGCATAAGGACCTGAGGGCCATGTCTGGCTGCAAATTCCACCCTCTTTACCTCAAATTAAACTCCCCCAAAACATACTGTTGGATAGTACGGAATGAACGAATGGTGCATGTTTTCCTACTAACCAACAGCAAAACATGCCGTCACAACCCGAAAGCCCTAAACCACCAAAACCCCTAAACCCCGCCAAAAAAACCTCGCAACCCTCTTGAAACTCCTAAAACACCTCCTAATCCCCTTATAAACACCCCCAAAACCCTGAAGTCCCTCAAAAGTCCCTCAAAAGCCCCTCAAAAGTCCCTCAAGAGTTTAAAATTCCTCAAAAAGTGCGCCTAAGGAAAGGCAGGGGCTCGGGCGCCTGGGCCGCAGGTTTCGTGAGGGCACTCGCGGCGGAGCCGGGTCACCTAACAGAGGGCCGAGCGTTTGTAGGGTTTAGGGTTTAGGGTTTAGGGTTTCGGGTTTCGGGTTTCGGGTTTCGGGTTTAGGGTTTAGGGTTTAGGGTTTAGGGTTTACGGTTTAGGGTTTACGGTTTGGGGCTTGGGGTTTAGGATCCCTAAACTCCCCAAAACCCCCAAACCGACCCCTAAAACCCTCAAACCCCAGACCGCCTACAAGCCCCAGGGTGTAAGGCTCAGGGTTTGTGATTTTCATGGGCGTGGGCTAGGCTCAGGGCTTTTGAGCCTAATCCTGACACCAAATCCGAATTTAAAAAGTAAGAATAACCATCTCAAAATCCGACACCCTCACAGCCTGCGGCCCCTAGCTAGCAACCCTGCTTTCGGGAACCTACACGGAGGCAAGGGAAGGTTGGAGCTTGACAGACAGTGGGTTTGGCACATGAAAAGTGATGACCATGAACCCCCAACATGTTCAGTGGGTGCTGCACACGCACGACAGCATTGTGGACCCGAACAGACTGTGATGCTGCAACTTCGGGTGTTTGTATGGCTTGTGGCAGTTTCACACTAAGCATACACAGCAACAGCATGTCGCAAACACAAGGTCAATATGCCGGAAGGCTTGCATACTTGACTAATAGAATTGTCTCAAGAGAGCACAACTACAACAAGCTCTCCTAAGACAATGTATGTTTTGCACTAGTTGGCACAAGTCCCTTTTGCAAACCCTTCCTTGTCGTTGGAGTCGACTTTGTAAAACTTGAGCACGGCAAGCTTCACCTGAAAACTTGCAGTTGGGGCTTTGGAGGGACCCTTTGCAACCCAGAATGTTGTGCAATACACTTGCAACAGCGACATGACTTGCTCCACCTTCTTCCTCTTGTGCTTGATCTTCTTCGGCTTGGTGTAGGTCTTCTTCTTGCGCCTGGTCTGACACCACGTTCAGAGCCGCGGCTATCATACGTTTTTGTTGCCGGATGCGATTCGGCGCAGCAGCTTCTTCGGCGTCTGCCCTGTTGTTTTGTTTGATCGGTATTGGCAGGTCTGCATGTCTTAATCTCAGGACACTACCGCAACCACATCACGTCAGCACCTTGCTCCTATCTACACAAGATCAAGAAGGCCTGTGCTGCTTGGACTTCATGTTTCAGACCAGGTCTTGCATTGGGATGTACCGTAGACAGCTTTGATCAAAACCCTTCCCGATCGCAGATGCATCGTTCAGGGAGTCGGTCCCTCAACATCCGCCTGCCTAGCTAGCAGTCAGCGTATTAGTATTTTGCTACTGACTAAACCGACTCAAACAGTTCTCCAAATGACGGCACCTTTTGCTGTCCCCTAGATGCAGAAGGGGTCGGAGTATAATCGGGATCTAAAGAATGTACCGTCATCATATGAACTCACCAAATTCTTCCTCAAGTTTGCCCGTCAGCCCCAAGGGATCTTTACCAAGTCAAGGCTCTTCTTGCCACCGCCACCTGAGTTCGATACTCGGCAATGGCTCCTGATGAAATGTTAGTTCTGCCTTTCCCTGCAAACTTGTGACCAGCTGTCTAGATGATCGTTCCTTGCCCCCCTTGTATTGCCCAACAAAGGGCCCATCAGTCAGAGAACTAAGTTAACTAAACCTGACAAACCTGAAGCCCCTCATCCAGACCTGTTAACCCCTCCAGCAGTCAGGCGGCACAGCTCGGCCGTCAAGAAGAGGGTCGACTCCTCCTCTACACCGCCTGCGCAGTGTGTTGTGAACTGAACAGTATGCTCGCACAAGCTCTTCGAGGCACACTAGCGAGAACGCTGATAGCTGGTTTTCGCAGCAGCGGGTTCTAAGGGCTTGCAGGGGATGGTCGTGTCTGGGCCACACGCTTCAGGGCTGTGGGTCATCGAAAGGATGTTGCGTCCCAATCCTGGTGTAGGTGCTTGTAAGCCCTAGAGCTGCACTCATTTTTTGGCGACACTTGGGATGTCCCTTATGTACCCCAAAGTCTCACAATACTAGGTTTCCTTCATGTTTTGGGAAGCACTTTAAGTGGAACATGGGCTACCAGAAACCAGGAGGTTGGGGAAGAGTAGCCGCAAACGTGGCTAAGTGGCACTCGGACAGCAGGACTTCATCCGGCAGCGAGGAACCGCCAAAGAGAACTGCAAGCCTCACGCCGTGGCACCAGAGGGTTTAGTCCTATGTATACTGCTTGCAAGGAAGGAATGCAAAAATCAGACATTCTTATCATGGAGGACACCTTGGAATCCTGACAATGAACGAATCCAGGCGACGCCTCGGACCCCTAAACTTACAGTTGCTCGGTAGGGAATGGAGGGTGTGTCACAATGATTCCTATTGTTGTTGTGAATACTATTCGTTACTATTCCTTCATTCCCTGCGAACCAACACCGCAACCAACAGTACGTAAACCGAGCAGCTCGTCCGCAGATTCGGCGACCCGGGCCTCCACCGAAGTTCGGGGAGTTGGGGCGGAAGAGCTCGGGCTTGGGGTTTGGGATTGTGCATTTGTGCATACGGTTTTAAGGCTTGTCCGATGGACCAAGTCTGCCCGTCTGGCGAAGACCGCTTGCTGCCTGTTGACCTCTCATCATCTCAACGAAACGAGATCCCCCTCTGTTATCCTCTACTATATAAGCCCCAAGATGCCCTGCTGCCGGGCACTGTGGAGCTTCTGATTTCTGGTTCTGGTGCCGGCATACCGATCCGGCCTTCAGCGCCCCAACAGTGTCGTTCGCGCTGCACTCGACAAGCCGCGTGTCACCCGCCACATCGCGCACGAAGAGACGCATGGCCTGCTGTCGAGCTGGGAAACAATGATTTCGTGTGGAGGTCGGGGTGCAGCCTCAAATTCTGGGAGTAATCGAGTGGACATGGCTTGTGTGGACCCTGCTGAATGGCTCCATTTCGTTGTCTGTCAAGCATGGCGAAAAGAAAAACATGCGCTCCCTCTACGTTTCTTGGGCATGGGCATTGTGCAAAAAGTAGTAAAAAGAGTCCGATATATGCCGCGCCACTTCACATGAACGGCCTAAACTTGGCCTGAACTCAAACCGAGTGCCCCACAATCTCCAACGGTTTGTGAAATCGACATACTCCCTGGCTCCCCTGGTTCTCTCTACTGCAGCCCAAGCGCTACCACAGCCTGTGCCAGGCTCAAGCGGCGCCGCTGATGTTTGAGCCACCGGAAGGCATGGGGTGTAACTAACACGTACGGCGGTCCTGTGTATCTGTATCAACAAATATAATCAAGTAAGCAAATATGAATACATATACACAAACAAATACACTAATATGCCTAAATATGTGCATATATATATATATGCACATATATGCACATTCATTTAGACCTAATGAGAGTCTTATAAGCTCCATGCTCCGAGCTGCAGAGGATCGCGCTGTTTTGAGCGAGTCGGACCCGGTACTTCGGAAGTTTCTGCCCGTGCAGCCGGTGGAAGGAGCTGCGCCAGCTCTCATCCAGGCCTCCTTGAGCCTTTGAACTGTTAGCACCGTTAGAATAAATATCATTCTCCATCGTTAGAACAAATGCCCCACCCGAGACATAGTGTCATCCTCATGGGCTTCCCTCTATCTTCGGCCAAGTTGTTGATTAAGTCCAAGAAGAGTTCTTGCAAGGGAGGGCGTCTGCCTTCTGTATCTTTCCATGACTGGCTTAGGCTTCTGCTTTGCTGACTGATATCAGGGACTTGGTGTTAGGTGTTGGGGAGTTGGCTGGCCCACCTCCTTTGGCAATGGCAACACGGCGTCTCCTGCAGAGACCCTGCAAAGGTGGATGGACCCTGGGGCTTAGGGCTTGGGGGCTTCAAGGGGCTTAAAGGGACCTCCAGATCTTTGTTACTGAATGCCGCCAGGATCCGTTTAAGAATGCGAGCGGATGCTCCTGTACTTAGCTTCACGCTAGCTGACAAAAACTTGGAGAGTGCGCCCCAGCAGGGGCAGCTGGTTAGCAAGCAGCCCAAGCATAGCGGACACGGCGCCCCAAACAACGCATCTCGAATGACACGCACGAGCTGCTTCCAAGTACGAGCCAGAGAGGCCCAAGCAATTATGGTAATCGATCCCTTGTAAACCCACAGAAACATACACACAAGCCCATACTTACCCGATGCCCCAAAACACTGGACAGTAATGTGAAAAACTAGGGATTGCATGGGCAACAAACACATGCTGCTGCCCCTGCACATGAGCCGTGCTCTTGTAGGTGCTTGTTGTTCGCTCCGTTCTCGTTGCCAATGAAACCATACTGCTCCAACCAGCGTTGCGACTTTGCTACATTGACCAGTTGAGATCACCATCACCTTGGACAACCAATCCGAAAATGACAAGCTGCGAGGGCCAACCTCGACACGATTCACACTCCAGGAGGAAATACGTAAGCTAAGCACTGAACATGAGCACTGCTCATGCGACGCTCAAGCACACAGCTTGCTGCAGAACTCACATAGTCACTGTACCAGTTGAGGTCCAAAGCATGGTGGGAGCGGTACGGCAGCTGTATGGACTGCTAGTAGAACATAAGAACGCAGAGAGTGGTGACTCAGCTGGCTTTGCTGGACCTTGGGAATGCTCACTCGAGCGGGCAAGCGTCCTTGAATTATGGTTTTTCTGCGCTCTCTGTGGAGACGTCGTCTGCCTTGCACGGTTTTGGTTCACAAAGGTTCGTGCAACAGGCATGTAGGGCCTAGGCAGAATCACTACGGGCGTCGGATGGTGACATTTTCTGGTGTCATCTTCTGCAAGCCTCGGCTATCTGCAGGGCACTATGCAAACCATGCAGGCGGAGCCAAACCCTCAAGAATGTTCAGAACACCGAAGCATGGGTTTACACTACATATCCCATACTCCTAAAAATGTCACTGCTTGTACTACTTGTTATTGTTACAAAAATGGAATGACTTTGATCAGTACTAGTTCCTAGCTGTCATCTACCCAATTACCCAGGGCCCGGCCTTGAAGGCCACGTCAAAGACATCGTCGTAATGAGTGGCAAAGTGGACCTGAGGCTCTCGGCCAGTATGCAACAACAATATCCCGCCATTTACATAGTAGAACTTGTTTCAAAATGAATATAACAAGCCCTATTGACAAAAGCAAACAGCTACTCCGACATTATACCTTTTTTGGCGCATCGGTTGTCCCAATAGCTGTCCATTCAATCAAAACAATTAAAAATGCCTAACATCGAAGTATGGGAGCCGTATTACCTGAATTATGCGCATCCTAACTTGGGGTGACTTGTATGCTTGCGAGTACCTCTCTGTCAGTTGGACGTCGCAAAACATGTACGTATATACACGGCGAGATATGCGGCGCTTTGCGTTTGATTATATTCTAAACTACTGAATAGAAAATCCTAGAACAATACATTTAATCATGTTTGTTCCCCACGGTAAACGCTAAATGACTACTTAGGTAAACATAATTGGAGGTCAGTCACAGTGATTACACTACTTGTGTATTAAGCTGGCAATTTCATCTTGACACAGCAAAATGTACTGCCGTCCTTCATTCCCTTCCAATATTACCGTCCTTCAGAATAGCAAAGCCCATTCAATCAGTATAGTTGACATCCAAGTTAATCAAACCAAAAAAGCATGTACATTTGAAACCGGCGCACCTAACATCTACCTCGCAAAGGACATAATCCAAACAATTCTCCTCGAGCCATAGAATAAACCAAAGATGCTTGTTCTTGTTGAGTATTGTCATATACGACCCATAGGAAGTACTGTTCACAAGTAAGTAGTTGAATAAACAAGCATAGAGACAACATCCTATAGTGTTGACAGTGGATTAAAGAGCATAGCCATGTACAACGGGTTGCAATACTGCACTTTACCGAGAAAAACACATCTGTATAATATTTATATTATATATATATATATATATTATATGTGTTATATTTATATATATACATATATATATATATATATGAACCCCCCCCCTCAGCGACCTGCCCTGTTTAGGCCTTTTTGCCAAAAAAGAACAACGAAGGCCCAAAAGCCGCGTAGTTCATCACCGGGTATTG